TTCTATTATAAAGACACACGCAAACGTATGTTCACTGTGGCACTGTTTACAATAACCCAAATGCCCATTGAAGATAGACTGAACAAGGAAAATGTGCCACATATAGACCATGGAATACTATGCAGTCATAAAAAATGATGAGTTTGTGTCCTTTGTAGGGACATGGATGAATCTGGAAACCATCATTCTCAGCAAATTGACACAAGAACAGAAAATCAAACACCGCATATTCTCACTCATAGGGGGGTGTTGAACAGTGAGAACACACGGACACGGGAGGGGAGCATCACATACTGGGGTCTGTTGTGGGGGACAAGGGGAGGGACAGTGGGGGGTAGAGAGTTGGGGAGGGATCACATGGGGAGAAATGCCAGATACAGATGATGGGGGGATGGAGGCAGCAAATCACATTGCCATGTATGTACCTATGCAACAATCCTGCATGTGCTGCACATATACCCCAGAACCTAAAGTGCAATAAAATATATTAAAAACAAACAACAAACAATGTTGCCTTTTCTGCAGTGTAAGGAGGACATTTTTCAAATGGGAATTTCATCTTCTGCTTTTAAGTTTTTGAGTCCAGAGGGCAGTTGTTGAGATTTCTAGATAGTGGGTTCAAAGAATCTCCAACCGGAGTGGGGCAGGCAGTGGCATCCTGGCGCCCACCGCCACACTCAGCTAATTTTTGTATTTTTAGTAGAGACGAGGTTTCACCAGGTTGGTCAGGCTGGTCTCGAACTCCTGACCTCAGGTGATCCACCCACCTTGGCCTCTCAAAGTGCTGGGATTACAGGCATGAGCCACCGCCCCCGGCCTTGGCTTTTTTAAAAAATCTACTTTGTTGTAATCTCAGATTGTACATGTAAAAGCCTCTAAAGGCTGGGAAGCCGAGTCAAGGGCTTAGCATGAGATGTCATCTGTGATGCCTATAGATTTGGTGAATTCCTTTCTTCTTGAGGTTCCCAAAATATCCTGAGGGTTTGGGCCCGTCGGAAAGTGGCATTCCTTACTCAGCTATCTTAAAGCTAGATACAAGGCCGGCTTTTCCAAGAAAGCTTTATAAGCATTGGCTCCATGAAGTCAGCCTTACTTCCTTAAAGTTGTCTAGTCATATCTGGAAATGTGATATTCCAGTCGAAGCCTTAATAATATAACCAATGTTTCCAATTATGTCCTATTATAAAGAGAACAGATTCTTACTGAACTCATGTAGGCAACTCTATTGCCATAAAAATAAGAATACTCACCGACAGTTTCGAAATTGGTGGAGGAGGGGATCTGGTAGGAAGAAAAGATAAATGTCTCCTTTGTGCTTACTCAGGTGTGCCTTACTAACTTGCTATAAGCTATACATCGTTAAGAGAAAAAAAAAAGAGAAAACCTTTGGTAAATCTGTAAAGTATCATATGAAAGAATCGCCAGTGTTTCGGACAGAAGTCATAAAAAATGATCTTCATCAGTTTGCTTAGTCCCACGTAATTAACTCTTACTCTGCTTGATTTTGTGATAGCACTTTCACGAGCCTATTGGTTTCTTCACTGGAGCTCTGGAAACTCTTCCAGTCTGGCCTTAAAGTTATTGGAAACCTGTGTTTTAGAGTACTTGTCAGAGGCTTCTTCTATGATTCTGTTTGAAAGAGCAGCAACTTTGGACACTAGCTGGTTGTAAATGCCTTCAGGAAGAATCAAAATAAGCAATAGCCATCCGTGAATAGCAGAAGACTCAGAAAGGCCATGGTTAAGGGTCTGATAAGAGTTCACGATAATAATGATGAAATTGACAAGAAATTTGGTTATTTCTACGACATGCAACATTTTAACATGTTAACTAGAATCATTACTGATAATGCATTAGAACATATCACATTTCTAGGAATTTTATGTAATTTTTAGAACACATATTAATGATATGTGTTCATATAAATATAACATGAAGGTTAAATATCATTTTCACTATGTTTCCATATATTTTAATATGTCAAATAAGCTTAATTAGTTTAATATCTCTTTCTATAAGGAGAGAAAACAAATATTTATAATCCTCCAGATACCCATCTGGAAAATTCTAAAGTTAGCTCAAGGTCAAATAGATTTAATTTAGAATTTCATTTTGGAAAGTTTGTCAAAAATGTCAAAAAGTTAAAGTAATTAATTAAAACATGATCATAGATCATGAAATAACACCAAAGTGTCAAAAGATTTCAGAGGAAAATACAGAAAGTTACATTGTCCTTAAAAAGAAAACTTCAGCTTTTTTAATATTGAGAAAACTTAGTTTACTTAAGTAATCAAAGACAATGAAGACAATAAGAAGGACAGAAATTTTGTTATTTTGATCAAACACAAAATTTCTGTTTTCTAGGCAAATTGTTTCAAGCATAGAAAACACTTTGGCCAGGTGCAGTGGCTCATGTCTGTAATCCCAGCACTTTGGGAGGCCAAGGCAGGTGAATCACGTGAGATCAGGAGTTCAAGACCAGGCTGGCCAACATGGCAAAACCCTGTCTCCACTAAAAATACAAAAATTAACTGGGCATGGTGGTGCACGCTTATAATCCCAGGTACTCAGGAGGCTGAGGTAGGAGAATTGCTTGAACCCAGGAAGTCGAGGTGGCAGAGCAGTGATAACGCCATTGCACTCCAGCCTGGGTAACCGAGTGAGACTATGTCTCAAAACAAAACAAAACAAAAACCCATTTTTATAAATCTCTTATCAAGAGCAGATCAGTGCTCCAGAAAAGTTTTGTCCCTTTAATTGAGAAGACAAAATTCTAGTTTTGCATCAGTTTGCTTATGATATTAAGGGTCATGTTTAAAACCCTCAGAAGAAATTCATTCAGTTTAGCCGGCTTGACTATCTAAGAGTCTCTATGTAGCTCTCTCTCTAACATTTTACATCCATCCAGTTTTTATCCTTTATTCATTGATCGATCCTGAAACAACCTTTGGAACCTCAAAACTGACAAAATTATCCTTTTCCTCAACAGTAGCAAAAAAACACATCTTTCTTTCTACCTTACAACATCTCACTCTCATTGTAGCTTTTCATCCTGAGGTATTTCCTTTATGATTTCTAGCAGTTTTTGTATTAGAATTCTTACCTCTTAGTGACTTTAATTTCTAGTAAAAACCAGAAAGCCAGGAAATAAGCAATTGTAAACATCTATGGATTTGTGAATACGTTATTTCATTACTTCTAGGAATATGTATGCTTCATTGTTGTACAATTTTCAGTGTGGCACAGGACATTTTTATCAACAGACCCAAATACCTTTGGTTATTCTGTAATAAGAAGTCAAAAGAATAGGTTGCACTTATGTTCAGCAATTAATGTTTCCGCATGATATCTTATCTGGAAATGATCTAGCTATTCAACAAATTGTCAATTATTTAATTTAACCTAGTATAGTTTTAGCTGGCAAAAAATATTTTGGAAACTATTTTTAAGTATACATATATTATAAAATATAACCATTGTTGAAAGGGTTATTTATAAACTTTTGTCCTGCTTACATTTATTAAGTCTACTTGGTTTTAGCAATTATGTCTGAATTGTTAATGCAGACTTCATGAGACATTAAACAAAGCTAGTTATTATCTTATTTTCTTATAGACAAATCAGCCAAGTATCAAAAAAATCAAAGAAACAAAGACAAAAGTTACAACATATGGCTCTTTTCAATTTTTTAAATTGTCATTTTTTCATACATCAAGCAACTTACTTTTTATTAAATATTTTGTTCTTAGGTTGAATTTATAATTTTATACTCTTAAACATACGGAACCTTTTAGATTAGTAAGTCCAGATAGAAGAATTTGTATGTATGCATTAAATTTCATGTTGACAATGCAGAATACGTGCCTGCTTTAATTAAATCAACAAACTTTAAGTAAGTTTTTATTTACCAAAGATTATCTAAAACCATGTGAACTTGGAAAACACTTGGGTTAGTTTCTTTTTTCTGAGATAACAATTTATGTCAGTTTTTTTTTTTTTTCTTTTAAGTCAAATTATCACATAGGTTCCACTAGGACAGGATAAGAGCTCTCTTTAAAAAAAAAAATACTTGGCTGGGCACAGTGGCTCACGCCTGTAATCCCAGCACTTTGGGAGGCCAAGGCAGGTGGATCACGAGGTCAAGAGATTGAGACCATCCTGGTCAACATGGTGAAACCCCATCTCTACTAAAAATACAAAAAATTAGCTGGGCATGGTGGCGCGTGCCTGTAATCCCAGTTACTCAGGAGGCTGAGGCAGGGGAATTGCCTGAACCCAGGAGGTGGAGGTTGCGGTGAGCCGAGATCACGCCATTGCACTCCAGCCTGGGTGACAAGAGCGAAACTCCATCTCAAAAAAAAAAAAATACTTTTAGATAGAATCTTCAAAGATATACCTACTTTAATTTTGACTCAAAACTGACTATCCTGTTATGGCTTAATCATGGCATCTCACTCAGAAGAGGCATCCCTAAAAAGGATACAAAAGCCCCCCGCAACCCTGCCCAGAAATTCAGTTTCCTCCAAGGATATGTAAGAAAGTAAAGACTCTCATTGTTAGCACGGCAGCTAAGACAAACTCTCCCGAGAGCTGGCGAGGTCATACAAAAGGACACTTCATGCTTCAGAATCCTGGGAAGCTGGCTAACTGCCAGGTATAAGCTCAGCATCTTGGGCCCCAGGCTGATGGAAACCAAAGAGCACATTTTCACTGATTACAAAGCCAAGCTCTTTTGACTTAAAAGAAGATGAAGGAGAGTCTTATGCAGGGCAGGTGAGCCTCAAAATTGGGGATCAACCTGAGAGGGTTCTTGGCTTCATCCAGGAAAGAATTCAAGGGTGAGCCAGTGGTGAGAGAAAGCAACATTTATTGAGCCAGTGCTGCTCCTTGCAGAGCAGGGCTATCCATAAGCAGTGCACCCAGAGTCAGCAACACATTAGCTGTTGGCAGCTGTATTCATACCCACTTTTAATTATATGCTAATTAAGAGATGGATTATTCAGAACATTCTGGAAAAGGGGCAGAGAGCTTCCAGAATCATTATGGTAACTTCCAGGCCATTATTATGACCCGTTGTCATGGCATGTGTAAACTTCCATGGCGCCATGGGAATGTCTCTATGCTAATGAGTAGTAAGGGCAACTAGAGGTCACTTTCATGGCCATCTGCTTATTTTGGCTGGCTTCTTCACTGCATTCTGTTTCAGCCACGTCCTTTCAACCAGATCAGCGGGGTCATGACCAGAAAACAAGTCCTGCCAGCCTCCTACCTCAAATCTAATTAGAATTTTCCTCATGACAACCCACACAAAAGACAAAGATAAGAAAAAGAAGGACTCCTGGGAGGCTGTGGATCAATTACCAGTGGATATCCAGAAGCACATTCACAAGACTTGCAATTCAAAGAACCAATTTTTACAATTTTTTTTCCTGTCAATTGAATTTGGGAAGGAAGGAACAAGCAAAAATTGTTATCTTCTTCTTCCGACAGCACACTACTGACAGAAATCCAGGAGAGCTAACCTTGGTAAGATTTGCTACCTTCTTCCATCACTCATCAGGCCCCTCAGGATCCCATCTGCAGGCTCCAGAGGGAGTCAGGGGTGCCCAGCCTAATACGACGGGACGAGAACTGTTGGGACAGAAAAATACTCCTTCACCCTTTTAGGGTCCCAGGTGGGTCCTAGAATGAAATTGACATAACATAGATGAACAGGAGAAAAGCACAGTGCAAATTTTACATGGCATAGGAGCCTCATAAAGAAATAAAGACCCAAAGAAGCTGTCTGAGTCAGTTAATTCTATACCAGTTTGACAAAGAATAGTAAACTGTAAACAGGGGCTAGGGTGGTTAACTGTGTAGAAAAGTAGCCAGCGTGGTAAGAGTTACTTGAACAGGCTTGTTTGTACAGAAATTGTTCCACTTCAACTTTCTTGTCCTTGATGATAAGAACCTTGCCTGTTTTATCAAAGTGTAGAGAAGACATCTTTCACATGAGAATTTCATCTTCTGCTTTTAAAAAAATAAAGTTCAGACTGATCTCCTTGCACCTGCTGCTCTTCAAGTGAAGTGTCTTTAACTGAAATAGTCAACCTACCAAAATAGAATATTTTAGCCCCTTCAGGAACGTTGGTTTTTGTTTATTTCCATGCATTGCTTTTATAATTATAAAAGCTTGTTTTATAATTATATAAAAGGAGACCTGGAACACCAGCCTTCTGCCCTCCACATACAGGAACTGCAGACACGGCAGATAAGGCAGAGCTGGAATGCTTTGCTGCCAGCTGGACCTTTGACCCAAACTCCAGTGTGACTGTTTCCAACACTCGCTCAACTGGAATGCATCAATGAGGCTCACTTTCTGTCCAGATCACGGAATCTGCATGAAAAGAATCAATACAGTCCTATTTTTCTCACTTCTCTCTCTCTCTTAATTCTTGGATTAAAGAAAAACATAGCAGAACCTGATGGTGCCCAGCTCAGATCCCCTCTGAAGCCTTTTACCAGCTCGGTGCATCCAGCCCAGCTCCTGTATGCCTTGCTGCTAAAGGTTTGCCCCCAAGCATTGGGGCCTTCCCTGGAGAGCTGGAACAACTTGGCAACTCATTCCCAGCCCTTCCCATCCCCCCTCAACCCACAGCCAGTGACTGACCAATGTGGAAATACAAAGGCCCAGCACCTGTGCCTTGGACAGTACAAACTCTGAGATATCTCTGCTTCAACACACCACTCAAGACCAGGGTGAGGCTGGGGTGTCACCCAAGATGGCACACTGGTTGGGTCTCTTCTCCTCCACCTATTCTTCCCCCCACCCCCGGTCACCACTGCCACACTGGTACATCTCAGGAGCACTTCCTCAACAAATCCCTTGCATTGAATCCTTGGCTCAGGCTCTGCTTCTGGGAGAATAAGACCTACTGGGGAAAACAGTAATGATGAATACAGTCATGAACCAGACAAAGCAACCCTTGACTTCATGAAGCTAAGGGGGAAGAATTACTATCATTTTATTGATTGGATGCCTGGCACAGAAGGAGGGGTGAGTCCCTACATTCACAGGTGAATTGTTAGGCAAGGCGGGGGAGTTGCTTCAGCCATCCTCTTTGGCGCTCATTCTAAGAGCACTGTTGTGCTGCCTTCAGACACAGAGCCTAAGGAAAACGTGTCCACATTTAATGGCAGGTGGACAGCCAACCTTTGCCTTTGTGCCAAGTCTCCTAAGAACAAACATGCAGAGCCTGCTCCAAGTTGGGCAAAGGTCCAATTCCCTGTCTTCCCCTTAGAAGGTAGTCTCTGGAGACTCTGCCTTGAATAGTAGAATTGTGTCTGAGGTGTTTTTGTTTGTGGGGTTTTCATGTGCTTTCTTTTTTATCTTCCCTAGGAAAAAAGAACTGATCATTGGCAAAAAGCTGAGGATGACAACCTTAGGGGATGAAAGGCTGTCTTTTCGCACCCTTCTGAGCTTTTCTGCCGGCTCCCAGCTGGGAGAAACCAACACGATGAAAGGTAAAGAATACTGGAAAAGAGAGAGGGTGGGAAGAGCCACAACCTCATCCTCCTAGTGGTTACTCTTGAGTCTGATGTGACAAGAAGTCTTCCCAACCAGGTGACCCCATGGGAGCCTGTCAGTATGTCACCCCACGACCTCACTGAGTAATCACAATAAATCGAGGGTGTAGATTGTTTTTCCTGTTTAGAGATTACAGGTTGAAATGCAAGATTAAAAAGCTTGCCTGAGGTTGCTTAGGTAATAAGATAACCTGGATTAGAACCCAGACCTTCCCAGCTCAAAGACTAAGTCCTTTGTAACTGGACTACGTCTATCACCTGGGCATAATTCCATCTACAGTCTCTCTCTCTGTTACACTGTTTAAGATAAATCCTATGAGGGTTAAATGAGATCAGGCATGTTCGGCACTTAGCCTGGAGTCTGGTGTGAGATAAGCACTCTATAAATGCTACCTAGCGTTGTCACTGCTGTCGATGGTGGTGTTGCCGTTTTTGGTACTGTTTCTGCTGCTGCCGATGCTGCTGTTGTTTTTGCTGTTGTTGCTGCAGGTTATGTTTCTGCTGTTTTTGCTGTTGTTGATGACAATGTTTTTGCTTGTGTTCTTATTATCTTTGACGCTGCTGTTATTGCCATTTTGTGGCAGTTGTTGCTGCTGATGTGTTGCTGTGATGATGCTGTGGACATTGTCACTGTGGATGTTGTGATGACGCTGTTGACAGTGTTCCTGTGGATGCTGTGATGATGCTACTGTGGATGTTTTGTTGATGCTATTAACATTATTTCTGTGGGTGCTGTGACGGTGCTGCTGACATTGATGCTATTGACACTGTGACTGTGGGTGTTGTCATGATGCTATTGACACTGTTACTATGGATGCTGTGATGACATTAACATTGTTACTGTGGGTATTGTGATGGTGCTGTTGACACTTACTGTGGGTGTTGTCATGATGCTATTGACACTGTTACTATGGATGCTGTGATGACATTAACATTGTTACTGTGGGTATTGTGATGGTGCTGTTGACACTTACTGTGGGTGTTGTCATGATGCTATTGACACTGTTACTATGGATGTTGTGATGACATTAACATTGTTACTGTGGGTATTGTGATGGTGCTGTTGACACTTACTGTGTGTGTTGTCATGATGCTATTGACACTGTTACTATGGATGCTGTGATGACATTAACATTGTTACTGTGGGTATTGTGATGGTGCTGTTGACACTAACTGTGGGTGTTGTCATGATGCTATTGACACTGTTACTATAGATGCTGTGATGACATTAACATTGTTACTGTGGGTATTGTGATGGTGCTGTTGACACTTACTGTGTGTGTTGTCATGATGCTATTGACACTGTTACTATGGATGCTGTGATGACATTAACATTGTTACTGTGGGTATTGTGATGATGCTGTTGACACTTACTGTGGGTGTTGTCATGATGCTATTGACACTGTTACTATGGATGCTGTGATGACATTAACATTGTTACTGTGGGTATTGTGATGGTGCTGTTGACACTTACTGTGGGTGTTGTCATGATGCTATTGACACTGTTACTATGGATGCTGTGATGACATTAACATTGTTACTGTGGGTATTGTGATGGTGCTGTTGACACTTACTGTGGGTGTTGTGATGATGGTGTTGATGTTTCTCTGATACTGTTATGTTGTTGGTGATGTTACTGTGGAATAGTGATGCTCTAGACACTGTTTCTGTAGATGTTGTCTTGATGCTGCTGCTACTATTACTGTGGGTGTTGTGATGGTGCTGTTGACATTACTATGGGTGTTGTGATGACGCTGTTGATGCTTCACTGTGGATATGGTGATGGTGCTGTCGCATTGTTACTGTCAATGTTCTGGCTGATGTGGTTGACGGTGCTATTGTTGCTATTTTTTTCCTGTGGCTGAGATGTTAGTGTATTATTGTTACTGCTGTTGTTACTGCTGCTATGCTGCTATTGTTGATGTGATAATGCTGTTGATGTTATTAATGTTGATGTTGTTGTTAATGATGTTGGTGTTAATATACCCATCCCGATTCACTGCTTTTGTTACACACTTCCAAACCAAATTTAATTTAGGCATAACTTACTAGTCACACAAGGATATATGTATAGCCTATCCCTCATGTTTCCACAGAGCCTGAGAATGTCCATTCCACTCTCTGGGAGAGACTTTGAAAGCCATCGATAGCCTTTCTTTGCCTCCTCGCTTAATGGGGCATGCTTCTCTCAGCCGTCCCTTTCAGAAACATATGCTGGCCAGTGGTACATGTGACTGGGAGAGTGAGTTTCCCTCAATCAAGGCGTTAAGTAGGAGGAGACCCATGTGGCTACCCACCTCAGGTGCCTGGGTCCGTTCAGCCTTTTAGCATGATAATGTCATCCCCATCTGTCTTGCTCCTGTGTCTAATTGGTTCAAAACTGGGAGATGAAGAAAGAGGTGCCATATTTACCTCTAAGACACCAACAAAGTCTTCATGATACACTTCAATTCACTTTTTACCTCCCCAAAGAATCCTTTCCTTATTTCTACAACCCAGAACAGTCTCAGTTGCCTATGAATTTTTATAGCAGTTTGCTATTTACCCAAATGCCAATAAATATTGTGAAATATGGGAACCTGGCTAGACTGTGAGCTCCTTCAGACTAAGAACGTATCTTAAACATTCTCTCACTTAATATGGTTCTAGACACATAGTAGGTTCCCAGTAAATGCTTGTAAAGTGAAATACATTGGGAGCTTCATACTTAGGATTGGTCTCATGTGGCTGAGCTTTTATGCCATCCTACATTTTTGAATAGACAATATTAGTTGGAAATCTGTGATCCAGAACTTATATATGATGAGTGAATGCCCTTGATGGTATGGAAATGGGAAGAACAGATTAAGTTCTTTAGTTTTTAAGACCCGTCAGTTGATATTAACGTCTTCTCATTACATGTAACTCAATAAAAGTGTAAGTCATTACCTGTAGAGGCATTGGGATGGATGCCAGGCTTCCAAAATTGAGCATAAAATCCAAGAGGTTTCAAAGTAGCCATTCTCTGATGCTTCTTTCACAAAACACATTGTGTCAGCAACCTCAAGGAGTCATGGGGCCTGAGGAGGAGCCCGTGAACCTTTTCACAGAATGAGTGTGTGGCTTTGTACAGTGCTTACCCCCATCCAATATCACACAGATATAAAAGACCCAGGACTCAGGCCCTTGAAGTGTGACTGAGCCCACATGTTCTTACAGGTGGCACTGGGAGCCTCTGTTTTCATCAGCTCTGCAGCCCACCCCGTCTTCCAGCAAGGAGGGGTCAGTTGTGTCCTTCCTTCTAGAGCTGACTGTCCTTGTTCTCTCCCCAGTGGCTACTTAAGTGAGGCCACTGCTGCCTCTGCACTGACCATCTGGCAGAGAGAGCTTAGCTGCTCATATTTGTTGGCTTTAAGACGTCATCAAGCATAGCCCCCAGGATGCCCAAGGTGAAGAGCATGGATCGAATCTGTTTCCTGGGCTGCTTGTCTTGGGTGGGAAGCCAAGCGTGCAAGCTGAACAGGGATGGGACCAGAGATGGCCAGCACTGGCAGGCAGTGTGGTGGACTCTAACGCTTGAGTCTCACTCCATACTCTACCCTGAAATCAGGAAGGGGCTCTGATTCTCCACTGCGGAGAAGAGGAATAAAGGAACCAAACCTTGTTCGTTCATTCATTCAGCAGATCTTCCCACCATGTGCCCGCTTTCCAGATGCTAGAACATGTCACCGACAAAACAGACAGAAATTGTTTCTCATGGAGCTGTGTCCTTGTGGTGGAGGGACACAGGCAACAAATCAGCAAATAAGCAAATGACAGTACGTGGCAAGCTGATGAATGCCAAGGAGAGAAATCAATGAGGGAAAGGGACAGGGGTGGGGGGAGGAGGTGGGGTTGCAATTTTCAAAAGAGCAACTAGTGAAGGTCTTGCTGAGATGGTAACATTTGAATAAAGACTTCAAAGCCACATGAGGCCGAGCAAGGTGGCTCATGCCTGTAATCCCAGCACTTTGGGAGGCCAAGGTGGGCGGAACACAAGGTCGAGAGATCGAGACCATCCTGGACAACATGGTGAAACTACATCTTTACTAAAAATGCAAAAATTAGCTGGGCATGGTGGTACATGCCTGTGGTCTCAGCTACTCAGGAGGCCGAGGCAGGAGAATCTCTTGAACCTGGGAAGTAGAGGTTGCAGTGAGCCAAGATTGCGGCACTGCACTCTAGCCTGGTGACAGAGCAAGACTCTGTCTCAAACTGAAGAAAAAAAAAAAAGCCACGTTGGTGTTGGAGGAAGAGCATTCCGAGAGAGAAAGCAGCAAAATGCAAAGGCCTGGAGGCAGCTGTGCTCCTGGGAGCTCAAGGAACAGCAAGGGTGGAAGTGGCTGGAGCTGAGCCAGTAGGGATGGGATGGGAAAAGAGGTCAGGCAAAGAATGGGTCCAGTTGGGAGGAACCTGGCCTTCTCTCTGCCTGGGATGGGAAAGCTTAAAAGGCTTTGAATAGAGGAAGGACATGCTCTGGTTTCCACGTTCCAAGGACTGGAGAGATTGAGATGCTTGCCTCACACCCTGCAGCCAGTGAGGGGCAGAAGAGCGAGCATCTAGCTGTGAAGGGGAGCTTGATTTACTGCACCACCCCTATGTCTGCCAGAGTTTGTTTACTGGAGTCCACATTGCTGCTAAGAGAGCTGACTGCCACAACAGTGTGAAAAATAAGACAGGGCATGGGGAAAAGAGGGGTGGCTGTGTGCTAATTCAGGAAAGGGGACAAATCCCAAAAGGCCTATTGGGGAGGCTGAGGCGGGTGGATTAAGAGGTCAAGGGATCGAGATCACCCTGGTCAACAAGGTGAAACCCCGTCTCTACTAAAAATACAAAAATTAGCTGGGCATGGTGGCGCGTGCCTGTACTCCCAGCTACTCGGGAGGCTGAGGCAGGAGAATTGCTTGAACCCAGGAGGCGGAGGTGGCCGTGAGCCGGGATCCCGCCATTGCACTCCAGCCTGGGTAACAACAGCGAAACTCCGTCGCAAAAAAAAAAAAAAAAAAGGCCTATTGGAAGAGGTGATATTTGAGCTGAAACCCAAATGGTAGAAATCAGCCAAGGAAATACACAGAGAGCAGAGTGTTCAGAAATAGATGGTGCAGAGGTCCTGAGGCAGGACCCCGCTCAGAGTCCCAGGAGAGCAGAGAGAAGACAAATGTGGCGGAATTGCCATGAGCAGTGGGGAGATGAGGTCACCGAGGGAGCCAGGAGGCAGATGCTTCACGGTCTCACAGGCTCCGGTAAGGAATTTGGATTTTATTGTTAAGAATGATGAGAAGGCACTCGAAGATTTTAAGCAGGGAGGGATTTACATTTTCTATTTTATTTTATTTTATTTATTTTTTTGAGACGGAGTCCCGCACTGTCACCCAGGCTGTAGTGCAGTGGCGCGATCTTGGCTCACTGCAACCTCCGCCTCCTGGGTTCAAGCAGTTCTCACAGGGTTAATGTGACCTGTGGGGATTTTTTGTCAGAGGATTGTGATGAGCGCGAACAAATTTTCTATGACCTTGTTAGGGGAAAATAATAAGCTCCTGCTAATGTATCAAATTACCATGCTTGGGCTTCCTGTTCAGAAACCTCAGCATCTCATCTCCACGTAGGCTGCGGAGAATTACTTTTTAGATGCAGTTGCATTGAGCGAAGGAGGTTCTGTGGCCTCTAACATCCCCACTGGGGGAAGAGCTCTGCTATCCTGGTTTTTCTCTGCAGTTCACGGTGGTCTGGCACTTAGCATAGCATCTGAAGAAAAAAAAAAAGCTGGATTTCTATTTGAATGAACAAAGGAAATGGTTAGTGGCCATAACACAAGGGTTTTCTCTCATGTCTATTTTCTAGGGAAAAACAGGAGAATTTTTAAAAAATGTGTCTCTCTTTTTGGGCTGGGCACGGTGGCTCATGCCTGTAATCCCAGCACTTTGGGATGCCGAGGTGGGCCGATCATGAGGTTGAGAGATCGAGACCATCCTGAAACCCCGTCTGTACTAAAAAAACAAAATACAAAAATTAGCTGGGCATGTAGTTCCAGCTACTCAGGAGGCTGAGACTCGGGAGGCAGAGTTTGCAGTGAGCAGAGTTCGCACCATTGTACTTCAGCCTGGCCACAGAGCAAGAGTCCATCTGAAAGAAAGAAAAGAAAGACAGAAAGAGAGAGAAAGGAAGGAAGGAAGGAAGAAGGGAAGGAAGGAAGGAGGGAAGGAAGGAAGAAAGGAAGGAAGGGAAGGAAGGAAGGAAGGAGGGAAGGAAGAAAGGGAAGGAAGGAAGAAGGGAAGGAGGGAAGGAAGAAAGGAAGGAAGGAAAGGAAGGAAGGAGGGAGGGAAGGAAGGAAGGAAAGAGAAAGAAAGAAACTTGTCTCCCTTTTCCTTTTGACAGCTGTGAAGAAGGTGCAAGTTTCAAAGGTGTCACTTTGCTGACGAGCCTTAAGTGATGGGCAGTAGGCAGAGGTTCCCTCAATACCCGTTTAAAGACATTAAGGACCCCCCCAGACTCCTCAAATAATACCGTATCCAGAATGAATGTGCACATCCCCTGGCTGGTCACCTGCAACGAGGACCACCCATAGCCACCTCCACTGAGCACAGACATCACAGCTCCCACTCTTCCTCTTTCTTTAAGAGGCACTAATCCCACCATGGGGACCCCGCCCCATGAGAAGTTTTGTAACTCACTTTCTCAGTTTCCCTCGAGATTCAGGACAGGTAGGTGAGTTGAGCCTCACGAATCAGATGCACTCACATAACCTCACCACCCCCATGGTCTCATCTAAACGCTATTGCCTCCCAAAGCCCCATCTCAAAATCCCATTGCATTAGGGGCTAGGGCTTTAACATATACATTTTTGGGGAGGGGAACACAGTCATTTAATCCAGAGCAGAAATCATAAGGAGGGAAAATTTCCAAATATAGTCAGACTATTCCAAAAGCAAGATAGCCCCAAAGATAGCCACACCCACTACAGCCTTTCTCTTCTACATCTGTCTCCCACACAGTGTCTGGCACACAGCAGGGGCTCAGTGAGTGACAGCACCTCCTTTCTCTAGCTGTGCTTCCCTGTTTAGCCTCTGCCCATCTCTACCTACAGCTCTGTCCCTTGGATTCCTGTACTTGAAATTTTTTCCCATGGACCCTTTCACTACAACCAGCACTTTAAAAGAAAAAACAATGGAATACAACATGCAAAGTTCACCAAATCCAGCTTTAGCACCAATTTTAAACATAGATGCATGCAAATATATTTCTAAGATATTAGTCTCCAAAACTGTGGGTATTGACACTCTTATCAGAACCTAGTGTCCTTCACTCAAGAGATGTTTAAAGAGCTTATTTGTATTTCTTGATTTCCACTTAATTAATGTGTTTATTTATGTCTTTTGTTTTGTAAGAAGTACATTTAATAATTTAGAAGCAATAAGGCAAAATATTTTTACATAAAAATTTAAAGACATTTGCATGACAAAAAGCATGCAAATTAAAGTGACAAACACCACACTGGAGAAATATTTTTAATTTAAATTACAATAAAACAGTCATTATCCCTAACATATAAATCTCTGTAGCATTTCCTAAAACTGTAGGAGAAAGAAAAGCCCTAGAGAAAAATAAGCTAAGAAGTAAATAGACAATTCACAGAAAAAGAAAAAGCATCTTAATTGTATGAGAAGATGATAACCTTCTCACTGAGAAAGGAAAATCAAAACCAGCTTAAGACTGTCAACAAGCACAGAGTGATAAGGACCAGATTTGTCTTCCCACTTGGAAAACATTTTTAAATGGACAAAAGGTGCCAAACAATAGTTTTCAAGATTTGGATGTTAGACAACAAAAGCAAGTGACCCCAAAAGGCAGGAGAGAAATGAGTTGAGCCTAGCGTTGCCCCACTTTCCGCCTTGAGAGACTTTCCAGGCACAGCTGCAGGGACGGGAACCCAGGCAGAGAATTCCAGGGAGCAGTGATCAGCGCTCATAGCAGAATGGAAATAGTGCTGTTTCCAGCCAGCCAGACTTGAAGACCTTGTCAGTCAGGGGTCATTTGGTAGAGGACTCAGAAAGATCTTGTCTCAGTAGTGGGGAATCATTAGTCATAGACTAAACATCTTAAAGAATCATAAAAGCTAAATGCAAAAGGATCAAGGTATTTCCACCTTCTTAACTGCATACCAGAACATAGCCCAGTAATAGTGACAAGAATACAAAAATACTCAGCACCCAAAAGGCCAAAATGATTGGCATTCAATCAAGGAATACCAGGCACGTAAAGAAGCAGGAAATATGGTGCCAAATAAATAAGAAAATAAATCAATTCCACTCAGTCCAGAACTGATACTATTGAAATTTGTTGGTGTCACTAACACATTTACTAGAGAGAAATTTCTGGCACTAAATCCTATGTTTAGAAAAGAAGTCTCAAGTCTACGACTTCAGATCCCCCTTCAAGAAAGAAAGGAGAGCACCTTAAACCTAAAATAAGCCAAATAAAAGAAATAAAAACAAGCAGATATCAATGAAATATAAAACAGAAAAACAATAGCATCAACGAAGCTAGAAGTTGATTCTTGGAAAATATCAGTAAAATTGATAAACCTCTAGTCAAACTGATCTGGAAATAAATAGAAAAAAAAAGAAAAAAGAAAAGAAAAGAAGGAAGGAAGGCAGGGAGGGAGGGAGGAAGGACACAGAATACCAGCGTCAGGAATGAAGGAAGTGGCATCACTATAGATTCCACAGAAATTAAAAAAATAATTAAATATTATGAACAGCTTTATGCCAATAAATTCAACCTCTTAGATCAAATGAACAAACTCCTTGAAGTGCATACATTACCAACTGTTATTCAAGAAGAAACAGATGTGATCTACTCAAAAAATATAACTTTTAGTTTAAAATCTTCCAATAAAGAAAATGCCAGGCACCAAAGTTCACAGGTGAGTTTGAACAAATATTTAATGAAGAAATAATACCAATTCTTCTCACACTCTTCCATAAAAGTGAAGTGAGAATATACTTTCCAACTCATTGTATGAGGCCAGAGATAGCCTGATTCCAAAACCAGACAAAGACATCCCAAGAAGAGAAAACCAAAGATCAATGTTCCTCATGAACTTAGATGCAAAAGTTCTTAACAAAACTTGAGCAAATACAAACCCACAATAGATTGCAGAAAAGAATAGTTTATCATGGCCAAGTTGAGTCTATCTCAAGAAGGCAACGTTGATTTAATATTTTTTTCTAAAATCAATCAATGTTATTTATTCTATTGAATGATGAAAAAGTAAAATATTTGGCCATCTCAATGGGGAAAAAGCATTTTACAAAATCTAACATCAATTTCTGATTAAAACCATTGACAGAGTAGGAATGAAGGGAAACTCTTCCATAAATAAAGGTTCTCCATGAAAAACCCACAGCTAATATCACACTATGCTGAGCAACCAAATCAGAAACTAGTGGGTTATATTCGCTCCCAGCAACTCATTAAACATTGTCCTGGAAATTTTAGCCAGTAAAGTAAGGCAAGAAAAAGAAATGAAAAGCATCCAGATTGGAAAGGAAAATGTAAAACTGTCTTTATTCAACAAGACCACGGTTGTCTACAAAGAAAACCTGATAGAATCCACAAAAACAGCCACTAAAGCTAATCGGTGAGCTTAGAAAGCTTGAAGGATTCAACCAAACCAACAGAGATCAATTGGATCTCTGTACTTTAGCAATGAAAGACAGAAATGGGAACTTTAAAGGCAGTATGATTAACAAGAGTATTCCATTACTTAATGTTTATGGATAAATCTGACAAAAGTACACTGAAACTATAAAACATTGCTGAGAGAAAATTTTAAACACTTGAATAAATGAAGAGCTTTCCTGTATTTGTGGATTGGAAGAAACAATATTTGTTAAGATGTGAATTCTCCCTAAACCGATCTGTAGATTGGACACAGTCTCAATCAAAAACAGCAGGATATTTTGGTCAAAATTGATGAGCAATTCTAAAATTTGCGTGGAAATGCAATGGACCTATAATAGCCAAAACAATCTACTTTGCAAAAGAAAAAAAATTACGTACCTAACACAACCTGATTTAAGACTTACAAAGCTACAGTAATCAGGAAATGGTGCTATTGGTGTCAAAATAAACAAATAGATCAATTAAACAGAAAAGGGATCTAGAAATACACCCACTCATATGTATATGGCTGATTTTCAACCAAGGTGGAATTCAATTCAGTGGAAAAAATAGTCTTTTCAAAAAATGATGCCGTATAATTGCATATGTAAAAGAAAAAAAAGAGAAATGAACTTCGATCCATAGCTCGCACCACATACTACAAAAAACACTTTAAAATGTGACCTTGAGTTGAGCAAATATTCTTTAGACACCGTGAAATCCATAAAAGAAAAAGTTTCCAGATTGGACTTAATCAAAATCAATACTCTCTGCTTTTCCAAAGATACTGTTGAAAGAATGAAAAGAAAAACTGCAGAAGTGGAGAAAATATTCCCAAACCATATATTTGACAGACTTTGTATCTAGAATATATAATGAACTCTCAAAACTCAAAAATGAGAAAATAAACAACCCAAAAGATCTAACCAGACACTCAACCACAGAAGACATGTGGTTGGCAGACAAAAACATGAAATCCGAATTAAAACTGCAGTGAGAAATCACTGCTGGCTATTAGCATAAGTACAATTTGACAGGCTGACCACCTTCAATGTTTGTGAGAATGTGGAGGAACCAGAACTCTCTTACATGGCTAGTGGACTGGAAAACAGTGCAAGCACTGTGGAAAGCTGTTTGACAGATTCTTATAATGTTTAATATACGCCGTCATATGTTCCAGCCATTCCACGCAGATATATGTCCAAGAGCAATGAAAGTTTATGTTCACACAAAGACATACACAAAACGTTCACAGCAGCTTTATTTGTGATGGCCACAACCTGGACCATCAACAGGTAAATGTGTAAACAATTTGTAATGGCCACAACCCAGATTTCCGTCAACAGGTAAATGTGGAAACAATAGTACCTCCATACTGCTCTGTGATTAAAATAATGAACCATTGATACATGCAACACATGGATGAAACTCAAAATAATTATGTTCAGTGAAAGAAGTCAGAGTGTGTGCTGTTTGGTTCCATTTATGTAAAACGCTTCAAAATGCAAACTAATCCACAGTGATAGAGCAGGTAAGCTGTTGCCTGGGCTTGGGGAAGGGGGTGCCCTAGAGGGAGGAATTACCAAGGGTCACAAGTAAATTTTTGTGGAGGATGGAGATGTTTGCTGTCTTGATTGTGGTGACGGTTTCACAGCTGTATCCATATGTCAAAGCACACCAAAGTGTACATCTTAAACATGTGCCATTTATTATATCTTAACGCTACCTCACTACTGTTTTTTAACTGCCTTCATGTACAACGTCTAACGCGTCAGATTGCCAGAATTCTAAAACGTGGACACCAGCTACTGCTGGCAAGCTTGTGGGGAGGCAGAGCTTCTTTTCACAGAAGCCCTTTAGATTTTAGACTCCCTCCCCTAACCAGGGTCTAAGCGTTGCCCGTCATTGCACACTCATCCATGCTAATGAATTTTTAAAGTTTAATTTTAGCTTTTCCAGCTGCCTCTGACCTTTCAGACAGCAGAGTGTTAGTCCGACTATAGTGATAACATTGCTCTGTAAGAATGCAGATTTTGAAGGGAGGAATCAGGGTGTGCAAAAAAAAGAAGGAATTTCATGTATTCACTCATTTGCATTCATTCCACAACTATTTATTGACTGCCTGGTGGGTGCCAGCCTCTGTTCTAGGCACTGAGGACGTAGATGAAAACAAGCCCAATGAAGTCCCGGTTCCCATGGAGCTGACAGCCCAGCGCTGGGCTGCAGACAATAAAAACTATCAAATCAACAGGGAGCGCATCCAGTGGTGACAAACTGAGGAGGAGGGAAGCTCAGAGGGAGCTGTAATTTTAAAAAGTGGGGTCAGGCAGGTCTCCGTGAAAGATGGTGTTTGAGCAGAGACTTGAAGAGCGAGTGCTGGAAAAAGATGATTTAGAAGGGCCGAAAACAAGCTTCTCTGAAAGCACGCGGCTTCCTTTCCTTCTGGACACATTTGGAATATGCAGCAAGGACTGCACATCTTCATGTCTCAGCCTCTCAACCTTTCCACCATGGCTTGAAGCGAGGTTTGTGATGCCTGTGGGTGTGTTTGCCACTGTAGGCTCAGCGTCCCAGGCCTTGCAGTGCCTCTCACCAGCGTGGCGATTCCAAGCAGGTCAGTTCACATCTCTGAGCCTTGTTTTCCTTTTCTGTAAAAATAGATCATTAGGAATTCACTCAATCATTTGACCAATATGGTTTGAGCAGTTATGTGGTGGGGCCCATGCTAGGTACTGGGACATAGTGGAGAAGAGGACACAGTCTCTGCCCTCACCGAGTTTATGTCCAGAGCAACAGACTGAATGTGTGGGCCGCCCTCCCCAAATTGAATTTATATGTTGAAACTCTAATTTTAATGTGATGGTTGTCAGGAGGTGGCCATTTTGGTAGGTGGTTAGATTGTGAGGTTTGGCCCTCATGAAGGATGAGTGCCCTTATAAGAAGCCAGAGAGCCAGTTAGCCCTTCCTGCCATGTGAAGACAAGATGAGAAGCCCGGCTGCCTGCAACATGGAAGAGAGCCCTTCCCAGTACTTGACCATACCATCGCCTGATTACCTGTTTGCAGGCGGGGTGTGATGACTCACACCTGTAACCCCAGCACTCTGGGAGGCTGAGGTGAGAGGATCATTTGAGCCCAGGAGTTTGAGACCAGCCTGGGAAACATGGTGAAACCCACCTCCAGAAATAATGTTTAAGAAATTACCCAGGCATAGTGGCTCACGCCTGTGGTCCCAACGACTCAAGAAGCAGAGGCAGGAGGACCACTTGAGGCTGGGAGTTTGAGGCTGCAGTGAGCAGAGATGGTGCCACCGCACTCCAGCCTGGGCAACAGAGTGAGACCCTATCTCAAAAGAGGAATCCTCACTTGCTAATGCCCACAGCTTTGATGGGGACCTCCTAAAAAAGCCAATAGGCCCAACCCTCTGGGACCACCCATCACTCAGCCTTGTCATCTGAAGAGGATGCAGGTTAATGGAGTAGCCTGTCCAAGTTCTAAGCCTGGTTCTATAACCTACACACTGGAGAGTCTGTGCCCAGTATTTGATGATCGTGCCTCAGTTTCCCCATCTATAAAATGGGGATGATAATTGTAGCCCCGACCTTGCAGAGCTGTTGTGAGGCATTCACAGTTATTACACATAAAGTGCTACTCACAGTCCCTGCAACAGGGTCAGTTGTCAGGATTGGCTCCTCCCAGCCATCCTCATCACGAGAGCTGTGGCGCCTGCAGCTGCACTTGTGGGAACAACAGCAGCTCTTCCAGGCCCTTCTGTGGCTTTCCAGGGCCCACTGCCAGGTTCAGCAGCATCAGTAACCAGCAATTTTCTCTTCCCTGCAACGTAAACAAGTCCTCCCACACTTTTCCCCTCCACCCACCCCGTTAAGTGAAGCGGGCAGAGCAGAATTCTGTGTTTTCCTGACTTACTATTATGCGAACAGAGGCTCTGAGGATTGGAGTGCTCAGTCCAAGGTAACTCAGCTATGTTTGGGACAAACTTGCAGATAAATGATCATTTTTCAGACATCCACACACTTAACCCAATCTCTGAAGTCCCAACCAGTACTACTGCCAGAAGGTCTCCTGGTTCCCTGGCCTGGAACAAGATATAATCCTGGTCTAACCAAAGTCTCTCCCACCCTTACCCCCATCGTACCATCACCATCCACCCCAAGCCAGCAGGAGCACTCCATAACCACACTCTTCCCTTCTGAATGACAGTGAAGATCAGGGTTAAAATCTCAGCCACTAACTTCCAAAATAAGCTCTTGAAATCTGTAACAGACACAATTTTGAAGCCCAAAGCTTTCAATGTCGAGGCTAGCTTTACAGGGTTCAAAGTGTTTCACACATCTAGGACTTGGTGGAGGGTTCTTAGTATACAGATTATACCACAAATAACAAAATTGGCAAAAAATGTATATATTACGAATAACTGACACAAGAACAGAAAACCAAATACCGCATGTTCTTGCTCACGAGTGGGTGTTGAACAATGAGAACACATGGACACAGGGAGGGGAACATCGCACATTGGGACCTGAGGGGTGGGGGCTAGAGGAGGGATAGCAGGGGGTGGGGGGATTGGGGAGGGATAGCATTAGGAGAAATACCTAACGTAGATGACGGGGCGATGGATGCAGCAAACCACCACCATGGCACATGTATACGTATGTAACAAACCTGCATAATCTGTACATGTACCCCAGAACTTAAATTATAATAAATAAATTAATTTTTAAAAATGCATTATGAATAAAAACCAGTTTTCTAGCCCAAAAGGAGGTAAGGTGCCATAGGGACGAGGAAGAGAGGAGCATTGGGAGATGACCTGCAAGCAGATGTCACTAAGTGGGGCTTCTGGAAAAGCTCTTCAAAGGGAGCTGACATAGCTATTAGAGTTTACTCTTCTGCTTTCTCCATCTGATGGCAGCAGCAGCCTGTCTAGAGTGGCTGCTGCCACCACGCTGTCTGCAGAAGGGAGGTACAGCCAGGTCTGCAAACTACATGCAGCTGGTGGGAGCCAGGGACAAGTGGGAGCCCTGCCCTTCTGGATTGGTGGGCAGGAGCTGCCCTGGGTGCAGCCATGGCTACCCAAATTGTGGCTGTGGAACCAGGCCTCCCACTTCATGGGAGGAGTCCTGCCCCTGTGGGCACAGCTACAGCCTCCCAAACACAGCTGCAGACTCAGGAGTCTCTGCACTCTTGGGGGTCTGGGAAGGCCCCCATGCCCTTGCAGGCTCAGAAGTGCCTGCTCCCACTGCCTGGCTTCTCCCTGTTGTTAGTGCCTGCTCTGATCTCAGAGCAAAGTCAGGGCCAAGTTGCAGCTTGGCTGGGTGTGCACACACTTGGGGCAGTGTTGACACATCAGCCCCCCACAGCCTCAGCCCCCACAGGACTTTGGGCACCAATAAGCATATGAGGGAAGCCAAAGGGGTGCTGAGGGTAGCTCAGCATGACCTGCAGGTGCCCCTTGGCATCTACCGCCTGGGCATCATGAATGGCAGCCCAGGAGGCAGAGAGGTTCCTGGGTGGAAGGGGGCAGATCCCCAGTGAGGACCCACCTTCAGGGAGTGAGGATCTGAAGGCTGGGGTCCAGGTTGCCAGTCCCACCGTCCAGAGTGGGAACTTGTGGTGCCTTTTCCAGGTCATTCACGGACACCCATGGACCAGTTGGCATGCACTTCCTCCCTGAAGCCCCAGGCTCAGCCAAAGCTGATTTTGGGATAACCAGCTGCAGAGAGGAGCTGCCCACTCCAGGGCCTCTTCTCTGCTAAGAGCTGAACACTTGATGTAACGAGCTGCCTGCAGAGAGGAGCTAGCTACCCACTCCAGGGCCTCCTCTGAGCTATTGTGTCAATAAAGCTCCTCTTCACCTTGCTCATCCTCCACTTGTCTGCATACTTCATTCTTCTTGGATGTGGATAAAACTTGATACCTGTGGAATGGTGGGCTGAAAGACCTATAACACAAACAGGGCTGAAACACACCCCTTGCTCGCCATGTTGCAAGTGAAGGGGAGTGAAGAGTTGCAGCCTTTCAGTGAGCCCAGACCTGGGAGCTGCTGAGCCAAGGCTGTGACTTCCTCTTTGGAGCCCAATGGCTTCTGGAGTCTCCAAGTTTCCGTGTGCCACCACATTCCCTGGTGGTAGTCATGGAGGCTGCCTCTGGTGTACCTTGTCCAGCCACAGCCTCACAGAGAGCTGGGGCCCATGTGCTGACACCTGGAGCTGCCTGCCTCACTACAGCAGCTGGTGTGCCTTACTGTGCGCAGTGGCTGGACCCCTTGCTGGCTCACTCACACATCCCTCGCCATTCCATGCCTTGCCTGCCCTTGGCAGACATGGATCTAGGCTTGTAGCATGACTGAGCAAGCCTCCCAGGAGAAGTGGGAAGAATAAACCCAGCAGGCCCAAGCAAAACTTGGGAAGAGGTGCCACCAGCCACAGAGGTTTCCAGCCAGAAAAGTGACACCCAAGATCCCTCAACACTTCCCTTCACCTGGAATGGGAAAGAAATGATGGAAGTTGCAGCAGCCACCTTGAAACCATGAGACAACCTTGAGGGTGGAAGCCATGCACCTAGGATGGCCAAGCAGAAAGGTGGCATAATGACATTGTGGAGCTCTTCTCCAGCCCACACAGCCCACTTCTGAGTTGTGTGTCACATGTGAGAAAATTAAACTCATAACTTATTTAAATCACGACTATCTAAGTTTTTCTTCTACATGCAGTGGAACTCAATGTTTATCTGATGCAGAGAGTGTCTGCAGATCACTCAAATCTGCTCAATCATAGAAAAGTATAATAATTGCTGAGAGTTGTTCTGTGGTTATTATTGTTATGTGAAATGGGTTTTAGATATTCCTAAGCCAGAAATATGATTACAAGGTAAAATATGAAAAATTATTTTCTCTATTTCAAACCTGTGATTTCAGATATCATTTTTTGTACTCTTATCTGATGACAAAGGAAATAGAGATTCATTTACACAAATTTGGAAGCTACTGGAAGGCATAAAGGAAAAATTTTTTTTAATTACCTGCAGACACTCCAGGAATAACCAGTGCTAACATTTGATCTATTTCCTCAAGTTACTTTTATTTATATGTACTCATTTACTAAGAGTCCCTTCCTTCCCTCTTTCCTTCCTTCCTTCTTCCTCCCTTCCTCTCTCCCTTCCTCGTTATTATTTATATGTACTCATTTACTAAAGCAAGAGTTCTTCCTTCCTTCCCCCTTCCTTCCCTCCCTCCCTCCCTCCCTCCCTCCCTCCTTCCTTCCTTCCTTCCTTCCTTCACTAAATAGAGAGTGATTGAAAGATTAAAGGCTGGATACTATTATTTAATACTGTCTCTTTTTTATTACCATTATTTACTAAAGCTTTCTGAGATCATCAAATATTCAACTTTGAAACTGAATAGCAACAATAAAACAAACATATAATTTTTATATTATCTTATATTGTTATAATTTCAATATAATTTAATCAATGATGCAACACAACTAACCATCATTGATTAGGAACTTAACCTTACTGGGTACCTGGGTATGGGAGTTTTCTATTTTATTCCTCACAATAATTGTAAGATGCAGACTGTTTGATGTCCTCCTTCAACAGGTGAATACAATTAGTAGTAAAGAGGTTGAAGAATTTGTCCAGGGTCTCCCAGGTAGTCTAAGGACCTATGCAGGGCTGTCCCCTGACAATGCCCACATGTGCATCTCCCATTCTGCTACACAGATTTTCTTCGTAGTGATTAAAGCATTTATCCATTTTCCAGTTGTTGTGCTCAGCATTGGACATTAAGTCTTTCTGAACTTCATGATCAGCTTACTTGGCCAATAATACAGTCTCCCATTTTACAAATGAGAAAACTGAAGCTGTGAAAGGTCAAATCCTCAGGGAGTGACAGAACCTAGAATGAACCCAGAACTCTGATTGCAAATACCAAGGACTTTGAGATTTTTAATTAAAGTAATGCATGTCCAAAGCTTAAAGGCAAAAAACTGAGTGAATTTTAGGGCATAAGACAACAGACCCTGCTCACTCTTCCTTATCCCTTTATATGGACTTGTGTCCCTACTCAAATCTCATCTTGAATTCCCATGTTGTGGGAGATAATTGAATCATGGGAGCTGGTCTTTCCTGTGCTGTTCTTGGGATAGTGAATAAGTCTCATGAAATCTGCTGGTTTTAAAAATGGGAGTTTCCCTGCACAAACTCATTTTGCCTGCTGCCATCCATGTAAGATGTGACTTGCTCCTCCTTGCCTTCTGCCATGATTGTGAAGCCTCCCTAGCCATGTGGAACTGTAAGTCTATCAAACCTGCCTCTGGTATAAATTGCCCAGTCTCAGCTGTGTCTTTATTAGCGATGTGAAAATGGACTAACACAGTAAATTAGTACTGGGAGTGGGGTGCTCTGAAAAGATACCCAAAAATGTGGAAGCAACTTTGGAACTGGGTATCAGACAGATGTTGGAACAGTTTGGAGGGCTCAGAAGAAGACAGGAAAATGTGGGAAAGTTTGGAACTCCCTAGAGACTTGTTGAATGGCTTTGACCAAAATGCTGATAATGATATGGGTAATGAAATCCAGGCTGAGGTGGTCTCAGATATAGAAGAGAAACTTGTTGGGAACTGGAGCAAAGGTGACTCTTGTTATGCTTTAGCAAAGGTATCAGTGGCATTTTGCCCCGGCCTTAGAGGTTCGAAGAACTTTGAACTTAAAGAGATGATTTAGGGTATCTGATAGAAGAAATTTCTAAGCAGCAAAGCAATCAAGAGGTGCTATAAAAGGCATTCAGTTTTAAAGGGGAAATGGAGCATAAAAGTTTGAAAAATTTGCAGCCTGACAATGAGATAGAAAAGAAAATCCCATTTTCTGAGGAGAAATTCAAACCAGTTGCAGAAATTTGCATAAGTTACAAGAAGCCCTATGTTAAACTCCAAGACAATGGTGAAAATGTCTCCAGGGCAAGCCAGAGGTTTTCACGGCAGCCCCTCCCATCACAGGCCCAGAGGCCTAGGAAGAATTAAGTGGTTTTATGGGCCTGGCCCATGGCCCCCATGCTGTGTGCAGCCTAGGGACTTGGTCCCTGCATCCCAGCCACTCCAGCCGTGGCTGAAAGGGGCCAACATAGAGCCTGGGCCGCACCTTCCAAGCCTTGGCAGCTTCCACATGGTGTTGAGTCTGTGAGTGCACAGAAGTCAACAATTGGGGTTTGGGAACCTCTGCCTGGATTTCAGAAGTTGTATGGAAATGGCTGGATGCCCAGGCAGAGGTGTGCTTCAGGGGTGGGGCCATCTTGGAGAACCTCTGCCAGGGCATTGTGGAAGGGAAAAGTGGGGTTGGAGCTCCCACACAGAGTCCCTACTGGGGTATTGCCTAGTGGAGCTGTGAGAAGAGGGCCACCACCCTTCAGATCCCAGAATAATAGATCCACTGACAGCTTGTGCCATGCACCTGAAAAAGCTGCAGGCACTCAATGTCAG